ACAAAAAATCCCAGAAATATACACAAAATTAAGAAACCAGATGAGAATTATGAATTTGATTAATTAAAAATATTTGAAAAGCAATAATTAATTTCGATTCCTAGTAATGAGCCGACCAATGTCTTCGTAAACCTTCGATTCCAAGTATAAAAATCTCATTGAGATGTCTGACCAATTACGTCCATTTCTCCTGGCAATAAAGCCCGCCCGTGAAATTACCGGACCAGCACGAGTGTAAAAATTAGGTGTATCGCGAGGTTATCGTGTCATTAATACCCTCTCACCAATCATGTTAATCCCCCACCCCCAATGCCAAAAAGTTTTTATTTTCCCGGCCGTCAAGCCCACGCTCGGTATATATGTTGGCATATAAACCGTGCTGAAGATGGCGTTCGTATTTAATTTACGATCGGCAGTAAACGTCCACCGATTCTAGAGCCAGGGGTGCGTCAGGGGTGCGCCGGGGGTTTATTCTACGCACAACGTTACTCCTGCCACCCCCTTCTACTTGCAAAAGACCTCCAGCTTCTGGAAGATATCCCCGGCGTTCTGGAGATGGTGGGAGGCCTCCTGTGAATTTAACGATCAAGGCGGACTCGGAAACCTTTGTTGACAACCACCCCAACTGTCGGGTTATTACCCCAAGAGGGTTACGAGCATCCACAAACTCCTCGCGCCAAATATTTCAGATTATCGTTTTTGGTAGACGTGTTACATCAAGTTTTTAACAACTGCCAGTTGTAATGCCATTCAGCACTGAATTTCTAACGACTCTGATATTATTCTAGGATTATAACTTTCAGAATTATAGCGAGCGATATTATTTTTCGGTGATAATTTTTTACTGAAATTTTTGTTACTCAATAAAGTACTTCATTCTTCAATGCAATTTTTACTCGGAAATGGTAAAAATTCCGGGAAAAATAAAAGAACACGCCTACATTTTTCCAGCAGTTTGAAAAAAATACCAGACGTAAAACCAAATGTTCTCCATTTTGTTCCAATAAAAACCCTTATTAACCCAAAAAACTCGGTTGCCCTTCGCCCATTCCTCCTCCATTCCCTAAAAGCCCTTCAGAAGTAAAAAAAACGAGGAAAATGTAGACTCTCCGAGGGGTGGAGGACTGTTTACCGCCCTTGGGACTGAGTTTGGGCTGCTGAGGAAGTTCTAACTCAGACGTTTAATGCCACTGGTGACTGGTCACAGGTCCCAGGACGATAAAGAGTGTTATATTGCCGATTGTAAAACGATACGTACGTGTGTAGAGTCGCCGTCACGCGGATTAGCCCGAGAATAATTGCTCTTACACTTGGCCCTCGAAAAACCAATGCACAAAGAAATGGAAAAAACAATCGAACCGCTTTATCTCTCCGATAGAATAAAATCCATGACTTATTCGCGTCCTTTTTCCCTTTTTAATTTCACTAATCTCTCTGGACTGGAGATTTACGGTGACATTGGAGCGATAAAAGCCCTCGAATGAGAGGGTAAAAACCACGGGGAAAAGTTTTCCCTTTGTCTGAGTCCTAGGACATTAGACAAGAGTGTGGAACACGCCAGTGACCCAGTCCTTTTCCCCGTTCCAACTGGGAACATCTCCCAGACAAAGAGATTCTCCTTGTGTACAAAAATAATCGATTGCACTCTTGTGGCACCCCTTCAACTTCACTGGAACGGAAGGAAGAGAAAGTTTTCTAGTATTTTTTTTCCCTCGGCCTGGGAACAAAGAGGGAGTTATAACGGCTCTCTGTGCATGTGGTCTAGGGTTCTGATCGTAAAGTGAGTTTATATGAAGATCGATTCGAGGTTCCGTTATATGTGTGATGAGAGGGTGGTGGTGATAAGGAATATTACGGGGCTTTACGAGAGGTTGTAATGATAGAATGAAATATATCCAGCTGAATTTGTACTGTTGGCTTGAAGGCCATCTTGTGGATGTCCCCGGAATATTTTTTTTTATGGGCCGGAGACTGGTACTGAGGAGGAAATGGGAGGGAAACGGAGACTTTTGCGTTTTCTGTCCTAGGATTTCCACAAAATCCACTGGCACATTAAGCCGCTTACTGCAAAGGAGATTACACAGTAATTGGTTGAAAATAGACGAAGGGGGGAGTGAATTTTTTATTCTCAGGGGGTGTTGAGTGCTCCGAGTGCACGTGTCACCGCAACCCTCTTGTTCATGCTAATTATGCAGCAACTTCCTGTTAGAATGTCGATTCCCATCACACATCATAGGATTTACACTTTTCGCTTGAATAGAGTAAAGAGAGTCAAGTAAAGAGAAATTTTTCAATTTTCTCTCTTCTAGTGAAAAGCCTTACATACTAATTATGAAATCATTTATTTAATTTCCGAGATTATTGCCTGGAAATAAACCTTTTGTCTATTTTTGAATTTGGATTGTTTTTTAATAAATTTTATGAAAAATGAATTATTAATAATGTAAATTATTGCATTATTGCGATTATTTTGCGAATTGTTTTTTTTAGCGGGAACATGCTCAGATGATGATAAAATGTGCTAATAGGGACTGGAGCTCGTGAGCTTTTTACCCGAAGAAAATGAACTCTCCACCGGAAGTGAAATGGCCCGTTGATGATGACCACCGCATAAAGAAATCATCATCGATTGCCGGGCGATTGAGTGATGACAATAGGCCATTGTTAGGTCGAAAACCAAGAGACGAAAATCAGTGCGGGTATTTGGGCTTTTGGGGGGAGGGTAAACACTGGTATACACTGCCACCGGAATTACGCATCGATTGCTCCGTCGCTCCTCGTCAAGGGGAGATACCACTCAATCGATACAGGGGAGAACTGACCGGTATACATATATCGATATATCGTTTGTGTACGAGTGCAGCACGGAAGCCTTCGGCTATTTCTAGATAACGCTCTACACTCTGCACTGCATGAGGGATTTTTTAATATTTTTTTATGTTCCTTTTGAGGGCTTTGTTTCGCGTCGGCTCGATTTTTCGTTTTTTTTTTTCAGGGGAGACTTGACATTGAAATAAAATCCACGGGGATTGAAACAACATTTCATGTTTTATTGGAGATCATTCTGTGAGATTATTTTGGGGGAATTAAATTGTTCCTGGCTGATAGAGAGGGAAGGGGATAGTGCCGCTCTGCTGGAGACATTTCAATCCATCCGGTTTTTTATGTCGGTTGATAAATAAATTGGCAGTCTCTCGGAGACGCAACCGAGCGAGTTTAATCGTAATTTGGGGTAAGAGACTTTTCCCCTCGTTTGGTATTTGTTCCTGAATTCTCTTCGGGAAATATTAATACCTGACGAACCACGTGTTTACCGGCTCGCTGGGTTGGAGTACGAGAAAAGCGGTTTAAAATCCGGGGGAGCCGCGGGTTTTCACTTGTTGAGAGGTGAAATTAATCAGTAACGACTCGCCCGAGTGTTGATTCGAGTTATTGTGGAATTTTAATTAAAATCTGCTCGTTGAATATTTTTCAGGGATGCTTCCGGTGTAATTAGTGGAAAACAGAAGTTGGTTGGTTCAAGGGGGAAAAATGTGCAAACACCGAGAGGGATTTTCGTTTTCAGAAAAAGCCACTCAGTTCTAGAATTTCTCTATAATTGAGTTACATTAAAAAAACTTGAAAGAAATTACTGAAAGAAAAATTAAGAAATTACTGGAAATTGTATAGAATATTGCAGGGAATGGATCTCTGAAGCTGCAGGCGGTTTTCCCCAAAAATTTAAGGGTAATCCCGATTTTTATGGCAAAGAAAACTGAAAATTACACAATTTCTTTCAATAACGAAATTTCTTGAAATTCCTGACAGGTTTAAATACAATAAAAATGTTCGGAAAGTATAACAGAAATTGAAAATAAAATGTAAAAAGGATGAAAATTATTGACACTTTGAGAGGTTATTGGGTTATTGATCTACATTTTTTGTCCAGGTTATTGTTAATTCTCAGTGCGTGAGCTTAACATGTTATCACGATAACCTGAAGAGGTTGCAGTACAAAAGATTGGTGAATAAATCTCTACGGAATCGCAACATAAATCGTGGTCGGCTCACTTTCCCTTTTACCCGTGGGTTAGTGAGAAAGCTCTCTCACTCACTTCACCCTCATCCACGGAAATCCCTTTGCTCAAGGCATTTGGCATTTGGGCGGTAGTTTGGAGAGACCTTTTGCACTCGGGAGGGCATCCTCCATGGTATCCCTTCGCTTCATTCGTCGACGACGTTCGCCTTGATTTACAGGCACGGCCTGCGGCTTCTCTTTCGGCTCTGATACCAAACAGCTTCCTCTCCTCGGCCATGGCAGCATCAACCTTCAGGCCTGGGGATTCTCCTTTTTCTACTAACCCCTCAAAAGAGGAGGGAATCGAGTCTGTCGTCGACGTTATTTCCGGAACGGGGCGGTGTGATGGATGCGAATATGAATAAAGTCGACTCAAAACCACTACGGGATACTCGCAACTCTCCCAAAAATTTCAAATTTATACAGGAGAAAATTTATTATCGTTAACTTTACCCTCACCTCCACATGTTTGATTCAACATTACATTATTTTACATTATTTTTTATAAGAATTATACAAAAATAGAGTATTTTTCATAAGTTCAAAAAATTAGAACTTGTTCTGATTG